CTGGAATTACACCGGAAAAAGCATTCTTATACATGGATGATCTAATTGTTATAGGCTGTTCAAAAAATCATCACTTGCAAAATTTGAGGAAGGTTTTTTATACTTGTAGAAAATACAATTTAAAACTTAACCCAGAAAAGTGTAATTTTTTCCAAAAGGAGGTCACATTTTTAGGCCATAAAATAACAAGTCATGGCATTTTGCCTGACGATTCAAAGTTTGAAATCATAAACAAATTTCCTACACCGACAAATGCTGACGCGGTAAAACGGTTTGTCGCGTTTTGCAATTATTACCGTCGTTTCATTCCAAACTTTGCTAACATTTGTAAACCGCTTAATAAGCTAACTAGGAAAAATATAATTTTTGTTTGGTCACAAGATTGTCAAAATTCTTTTGAAAAGTTAAAAACTGCTCTGGTCCAACCTCAAATATTGCAATACCCAGATTTTAACAAACAGTTTATAGTAACAACAGATGCATCAAAAGATGCGTGTGGAGCTGTGTTATCACAAGACTTTAATGGTAAAGACTTACCCATAGCATTTGCATCAAAATCATTCACAAAAGGCGAATCCAATAAAGCAACCATTGAACAAGAATTGCTGGCAATCCACTGGGCAATAAATTATTTTAGACCCTATTTGTATGGTGTAAAATTTTTGGTTAAATCTGATCATAAGCCGCTAGTATATTTATTTTCGATGAAAAATCCTTCATCAAAATTAACGCGCATGAGACTCGATTTAGAGGAATATGATTTTGAAGTCGAGTATATTAAAGGGAAAAACAATGTAGGTGCGGACGCACTGTCAAGAATAACAACATCTGATTTAAAAGAAATTTCTAATCAATCGGCTAAAATACTAGCTGTAACAAGATCAATGACTAAAAAACAGGAAAATAAAAACTCTGACACATATGACTCTTCGCAAAATAAAATACTTATTCTACCTAAAATTTACGAAACCTTAGACAATAGCAGTATACTTAATTTACCTTTAGTAAGTTTTGAAATTAAGTCATTATATCTTAGGATAATAATGAGATTAAAAGGAAGATTCAGCGCTGAATCAAACATTCCGATCATTAATGGTAATTTTTCTCTAGAGGAAGTATTGCCTAAGCTTGAATCAATGGCTAATGATCATAATATTAAAAGTTTAAAGTTAAAATTAAATGACCAAATTTTTCAAATGTGCACAATAAATGAATTAAAAGAAATTGGTCAAGAAAAATTAAAAAAGGTAAACATTTTGTTATTTAAGGAACCACAAGTTATTAAAAATAGAGATGAGAAACTCGCTTTAATACAAAAATATCACGATGATCCATTAATTGGTGGACACTGTGGACAGAAAAAACTACTTAAAAAGTTAAGAGTCAATTATAGATGGAAAGGTATGTCAAAAGAAGTTGCTGTATACATTAAAAACTGCTATAAGTGTCAATTAAATAAAAGCAGAGTGAAAAACCAAGAGCCAATGGTAATAACCCCTACTCCTCAAAAAGCATTTGACATCACATCAATCGACACAGTAGGTCCATTTATGAAAACATCAAAAAATAATGTATATGCAGTCACAATTCAATGTGAATTAACCAAGTACATAGTCATCATTCCTATACCTAATAAAGAGGCCGCAACGGTAGCAAGAGCTATAATGGATCATTTCATACTTATTTATGGTTCAATGAAGGAAATAAGAACAGATTTAGGCACCGAATATAAAAATGAAATTTTTGCAAATCTAACTAAAATGCTCAACATAAGTCAAAAATTTTCAACTCCTTACCATAGTCAAACGATAGGGGGATGTGAAAGAAATCATAGAGTTCTGAATGAGTACCTCAGAATGTATATAAATGATGCAAAATCTGACTGGGATGACTGGGTACAATATTACAGTTTCTGTTATAACACAACGCCCAGCATCTATCATGATTTTTCACCGTTTGAACTGGTATTCGGACGGAAGGCAATGATTTCTGAAATACTTTCAGGTGATACTGTAGATCCTATATATGACTTAGACGCTTACTATCATGAAGTAAAATATAGAATGCAATTAGCCAATAAACGTGCGAACGAATTCATTTTCAAAGCTAAACAAAACCGTAAAGTAATTTATGACAAACTTTCAAATAAAACTAATTTTAAACCAGGCGATTTGGTCATGTTATCTAACGAAAATAGAACCAAATTTGATCCTTGGTATAAAGGTCCCTACTCAATTATTAGTATTGAAGGTGTAAATTGTGTGATCAAAGATTGCGCGGAAACTAACGGAAAGCAAATGAACGTGCATAAAAACAGAGTGCGTTCGTTACAATAACAATTAGCAAAACGTTATTCGTATTTCTAAGAATTTCATAGCATAGACAAAAAGCTCGCGAGTGTATAAAAATAGTTAAGTTAGGTCAGTATAGAAATGCTGAGGTAGATAAGTTATTTTTAAGTCATCATATTATATTATGTGTAAATCTCTCTTTTAGAAATATTTTTTTTAATTTTATTGTGAAACACGTACTTATAATAATTTATAGTCTTATGAAATGGTACACTAATAATTATACTTTTATTTTTACATTTTTTAACCAAGACCAGGTATATTATTGTAAATAGGATAGGTAATATTTTATTATTATATATATGGGTTCTATAGATATAGATTTTGTGTCGTATTTTTTATGTTTATTATTTTTAATAATATCTAGTTAATAGGTTAGTATATTGGTAAACTTAATTAAAGCAACAGTTTATTTATAAATTGCGACACCCAATGGATATGATATAATTATTATTGTCAATTTTTGCTTACGCCGAATGTCCTTTATTTGTGGCCAGAATAAAGTTCATTCTACTGAAAGGGGAGATGTAGTGCGACCTGGTTACCCAACAATTGTTTGTTTAATAATTCATTAATTATTGCAACAACAAAAGCATATCATACCATCTTTTCTAACTAGGTTAGCTAATTCGAATAAATGTATTCAAAGGGTGAACATGTGTTTGATTTTCCCGTATTGGAATGAGACGACATCACAGCAGAACTACGATACAGTATCTTTATCCGCTGCGCTGTAAATGACGATCAGCGCGCAGCGGCGCAGAGATAAACTAAATCTCGGACAGAGTTGACTAGCAGCGACGTTATCGCCAGCTACATCCCGGACAGGTTTTGTGCCACGAAATCACCCATAAGGTTGCGCATATTCTTATTTCTTCAATCAACTACATATATTAGCTTTTACAGAGCAGAGACGTTAACTTAAACTACTTTACTTTACTTTAATAATTAATAATATTTTTTATTTTAGAGTATGTATTTTAAGTTTTCAAGAAATATTCTCTGAAAATTATTCTTATAACTCACAGCCACATAAACAACTCTACAAAGTTATGTTACAAATAAAATCGAAATGCATATTTGATGAGTTCTACATCGGTAAAAAGCTCCTCAGTAAACATACGAAAAATTTACTACACACTCAGTTTTATAGTCTCTTCTAACTAAAATTGATGGAATGGAGAATACCGTATAAATTTAAATCGACCGAATAACAAAAGGGCTCGAGTAAAAGCCTAATAAATTATGTAAGTATTTTTAAGTACAGTAAGCAATTGGAATTTTACAATATAAATTTGCCCTTTTATTTTTTCCTAGTTAGGGTATAATTATTAAGTGTTAAAATCTAAAAGTTTTTATTGTTTCTATTGTAAAATAAAAATTTCATAATTTGGAGCTCAGACAAATAATAATAAATATACAAGTATTACTGTACCTATAGGGTTATAAATATACAAGTATTACTGTACCTATAGGGTGGGCCAATTATGACACTTTTAAAGGGAAACACCCTTGTCTATAGGAGAAAGGCGAAAACTAATATCGGTGTCTGGAGCTCAATTTTTATCAAAAACATGATGGTAAAAACCGCATATCAATATCTGTTACCGTTTCGGAGTTATGGGGCGTTTTTCAAAAATGTTTATTTTTAACAAATCGCGGTAACTTTTTTGCTATTGAAAATTTTGTATTTTTATGAAAACATCCCCAGAGCACCTTTATACGTAGAATTTAATAGTTTATGTATACTTTTTTTAAATTAACAATTTAAGAGTTATCAACAGATTTTTTTTTTTATATAGGACACTCTGTATATTTTTTATTCATTGAAAAGAACTTAAAATTCCGTTTCCCAAAATACAGTATACTTGATATTTTGCTCCAGTCCCCTTCGAAATGCAGAATTTCTAAAAGTCACTTTTAACTTTCAACTATTAAGCTATCTTTTTTGAAATCATTTTAGTTTTTAGTTAAAACCCATAATTTGTTGATAGTACGGCAACATAGGTAGTAGATTAAATTTACAAGAAAAAATCCCAGAAAGGATCCAGTGGTTCTCACAATTATTTTTTTTGGAAATTTTTAATATAAAATAACTATAGATTCACTCCTGTCTATTTTTTACATGTGTCTAGACATTTAAATGTATGATTTCATTTATTTGTACTAGGTAAAGTGTTTTAGCGTATTTTGTAGATTAGTGATTAATTTCGCTGTTGTAACACCAAAAGTTCTAATCTCTACTATAACTATAACTATAATGGTGAATAAAATACGTAAAATTATTTAGATTTTTATTGTCAGTGGTATATTGTTTTTATTAAATTAGGATGTTATAAAATGACAAACTAGAACTTTTTATTTAGTGCCGTAACGCCTCCTTAAAATTAATATTTCTATCAAGAATTTTATTCTTAATAGATTCAGTGTTTCACTTACAAATTACATAAACTATCTAAAATAAATTTATTGAAATGTTAGCACAATGATTAATCGTAGCACTTCTAATTCCTTTTTACTTAATTTTTAAAGTTACCTTATCTTATATATATCTTTTTTTCTAATTTTGATTAAAAAATGTACCCCTATATGTTACATATGACTCTTTTTTATCTCGGAATATCCCAATCGATATTTGTTTTGTTCTAGTCGTTCCTGTGGGAGTCCCGCTGGTGACAGTGGATAAAAGTGGATTAGAGCACGGCAGGCCCCTCATTGCCACTTGCCACGCTCCACCGTCGCATCCGGCTGCGAATATCACGTTTTTCGTTAACGACGAGAAGGTAAACCTGACTTTAGATTTTAATTTAATTTTTGCGTTTATTTATTTCTGGCTTTATAACGTTTAGTTTTGCAAACTAGTTTAATATTTAGCAAAATAGTTTTGTTAAAGAAATATGTTTATGTTTTTCATTGAAATGTCTATATCACTACCTGTGATTTTTTCACCGTAAAATAAAAGTAGCAATTTACAGCTGTTAATAAATTGGGGCAACGGTCCAGTTATCTGATAGTCAAGCAGCGTTAAAAGCGATCAACTCGGTATCAATCAATTCGTAGTTGGTCAAAAAATGCATAGAGAAGCTGAACAAATTAGGCAAAGTCCTCCTACTTTGGGTGCCAGCTCACCAAGGGATAGAGCGTAATAAGAAAGCTAATGATCTGCTAGAAAAGGAGCGCACACTCCATTAACTGAACCAGAACCGTTCTGCTTCCCAAGTGGAAACCAACTAGAAGCGGAACTCAAAAACTCGGGAGTGGGAATTCTGAAATAGTCTGAAACACGCGAAGAAGTTCCTGAGGTCTTACGACCAAGAAAGATTAAAGATTTTCCTTGATTTAAGTAAGAACAATCTTTGAATTGTCACGGGATTTTTAACAGGACGCTGTCCCATCAACGAACACTATAGTAGATTTAAGCTACGAACAAACGACGAATGCAGATTCAATGGGGAAAATGGGGAAACACCATAACACCTCATCACTGAGTGCACCGGGCAGACAACCACTCGTACTATAAACTTTGTTACAACTGAATATTGGAGATGTAGGAATTCCCTCTGTAAAACTGTCCCAGATACTAGCTTTTGTCAAAACTCTGGGACTGTATGATGACAAGTATAAGACTTCCAAAAATGTTTTTTTGTCACATCAATCTATGGAGGCGCATAAAATCTATTATGCTTTAGTTGTCAATCTAGTTGACGAAAATATGGAATTTTAAGTTAGTATCATAAATTATATTTGACAATAAGCTTCATAAATAGCTTAAAAAATTTAACAAATTTTAAATTAATTAACGGTCGTGTTTATTTGTTATTGGTGCCCAAACGGAAAAACGAAGCACATTTTTAGATTACAAGATAAATTATGTGCAATTAACTTATTTTGATTTTAAAAAATACGTAGTTCTGTGTTCACGGAATTTTGGAACTCCCTGTATATTTTGCAAGTCTGATTTGAAAAAATAAATCCTCCTAAATTTTTTTTCTCAAAAACTATGCAATTTGACGAAGAGACAAAAAATGTAGTAAATTCTAAAGGGACCACTTTACGAAAAGAAAATCTATCGTCGGCAAAAATATATACAGAAATTAATATAGGGGTGGGGGTACTTTTCACCCTTCCCGTACGTTTTCTTGATTTTTGTGAAATTCAAAATATGTTAAAGCACTTAGCAAAACATAGACACCCAAATTCTCATTCAAATCGGAAGAACAGTTCTTAAAATATCTGAAAAAATGGGTTAATTTTTTTAAAGTTTGATACCCTCTAGCGGCTAAACGAAGCACTTTTGTATAGAGGTAAATTTGGGTCCAATGAACTAATTTTGATTCCAAAAACACGTAGTTGTTCTATGTCCATGGAATATTGAGAAACTCTGCATAATATAAAAAAATTCTAAATCTCTAAATACCTTGAGAGATTACAAAATTACGTTAAGGATGACTCACGAGATACCTTGAATCACCTTTTAGTCTAGGTACCGGAGGCATTTATACATTCCGTACATGTATACGGCACCTAGCACAATCCCATTGGTCAGATTTGAATTTTAAACCAATTAAACTCCGAGTGCCATACGCGATTATGGAATGTAAGACAGTGCCATATGCACTTACGGAATGTACCTTAGACATTACTATTAACGCTTTGTTATAGAGCATTCAAACCAGAACCAAATTAACCTCACCAATTAGCTAACCTAACCAACGCAATCAACCCCACCAAATAACCATCTTAACCAACGCAACTAACTCCACCAAATAATCAATCTAATCCCACCAAAAAGAGTGAAACCAACGCAATCCGTATTTTGATTGTTATTAAATACTTACAGCTTTTTTTAAAAAATAAAAACAGTTGTAAAAAAAAATAAAGTTATACCAAACCGAACCTCAGTCACTGAGCCACAGCTACTCTTGCAAGATTAGCTATAGCCAGGCGTTAATTTCAGCTGCAGGCATAATTACCAGGTACATTCCCTAAGTGCGCATGGCACTGTCTTACATTCCATACTCGCGTATGGCACTCGAAAAGTTTAATTGGTTTAAAATTCAAATCTGATAAATGCGTACCGGAGGCATTTATGTATACGGCACCTAGCCCAATCCCATTGGTCAGATTTGAATTTTAAACCAATTAAACTCCGAGTGCCATACGCGAGTATGGAATGTGAAACAGTGCCATATGCACTTATGGAATGTACCTAGTAGTTATGCTGCAGCAGAAAATCACGCCTTCCTCTAGCGGCCAAATATTCTGTTAAATTTTTGCGATTGCGGCGCGCGACATTATTTTAATCAGTTGCTAACATTATATTATCAGTTGCTTTGGATGGTTTATATTATTATATCTACGTGTTTGAAATCGCCATGCAGACTGCGGTAAATTAGCTACCATCGAATTATAAGCATTTTGAACTGAGTCCTGGAAAATATAGAGCAAACCTATTGACTGAAAATGATGCTAGACGATGAGTGGAGGAATTTGAGTCTTTGACAAATTCTAATTGGAGGATGTCGAGTGTCAAAACAAACACGCCAAGGCTCATATGTACATATATAAAAACCTATATGTAGGTAGGTATATTTTAGACATTACTATTAACGCTTTGTTATAGAGCCTTCTATCCAAAACCAAACCAACGCCATCAAATAGCTAACTTAATCAACGCAATCAACCCCACCAAATAATCGTCTTAACCAACGCAACTAACTTCACCAAATAATCAATCTAACCCCACCAAAAAGAGTGAAACCAACGCAATCCGTATTTTGATTGCTATTAAATATTTACAGCTTTTTAAGAAATAAAAACAGTTGTAAAAAAAAACATAAAAAGTTATGGTCCGGCGTGCGATTTGAACCACGGACCTCTCGTTCACGAAGCGATGGCCTCAGTCAGGGAGCCACAGCTACTCTTGCAAGATTAGCTATAGTCAGGCGTTACTTTCTGCTGCAAGCATAATTACCAGGTACATTCCGTATGTGCGCATGGCACTGTCTTACATTCCATACTCGCGTATGGCACTCGGAGTTTAATTGGTTTAAAATTCAAATCTGACCAACGGGATTGTGCCAGTAAAAAAGCAAGTAAAAAAGTACTTGAAGAATGGTGGAAAAAATCACAAGAATGGAGGCAAAAAATAATAATTTTCAAATCAACATAATCAATAAATTTAATATCGTGATGGTATTTTCTTGAAATGTATTAATGTTAAAGAAAAGTTCGTTTGTAGTTTAGATATTGCCTTTCGTACTCATTATAATTTTTAACATATTGTAGTATATATGTTTTGCTGGAACAAAATAAGTTTATTACACAGTTAGCGTCGAGTTGTGAATGCTAATTTCGTTTGCGAACTTAGTATGAAGGTATAAACGAAATTTAATTTCACTAGATTCATTTTATTCATTTTACAATGTAGTGTTTCTTCCTTCTCGTATACTTTTATGTATGCTTTCTCCATAAATTTGTCACAATAAAACTAATAAAAAAGTTTTATTTTCCAAGATTCCAGAGATTGTCTCTATTTTTAATATAACTTTGTGTAAATTAAAAAGAAACTTTATTCTTTGGTTTTATTATTATTGTTGTATTCTATTACTTTAAAATTATGTTTTATTCTATTTTTGTTTGTTTTAATTCTACAAATAACTTTTTTTGTACTCGTTTTATTATTTTATTCTGTAATGTATTTAAAATATGTTTAATATAACATTAAAATGTTCTTCCTTTTTTATATAGGTACATTATAAGAGTAATAAAATAATTAGAGAATTTCACGATAAATATAAATTTGCATATTGCAACAAAATAAATTGATATTAAAACAAATCCTCTGGGCTATAAAATATACTACATGCTAATTTCGTATTTCGCCGAATGTATTTTAACAAGCCCAAACAAATGAGCACGATGCTGCCAAATAGAATAAAATATGGCCGATGTATTTTTTGAAAATTAAACAATAAATGCACAATTACCGTGACAATATTCGTACTGTGAATTTGTTTATTTTAGGATCGTATATTATCGTTGCCATATACATATTAGATTATTAATTGTACACAAAGATGTTTAATTTTAATTAATTTTTAGATAAATATTTATGTATAATCGAAATTAATACACTAGTCAAGAGCCAGTAAATAGTCTGTATATGTAGAATGAGTGGAAAGTGATTGTTTAATCACTGCGACCTTAAAAATATATTGTGTCACCCTTTTTTTGACTCACCACATACAAGCTGTAACTCATCATTCAATCTGAAAGCAGGGGCGGATACAGGAATTTATTTTAGGGGGGGCCCAAAATAAAAAGTAATGTAGAATATGCTTTTTAGGGCGCCATTTATAACGAAAAAGCTTAATATTTAACACAATTTACAGATTTTAGGGGGGGGCCGGGCCCCATCCGGGCCCCATGGGCCCCCCTCTGTATCCGCCACTGTCTGAAACTCATCATACCGAAGGAGAATTTTTAGACACAAAAACGAAACAAAATATCTGCTGAAAAACTTTGCGAAACAGTATCGTCACATTTTTTATATAAATATTTCTTAATATAAATCGCTTTATGTTTCGAAACATTTTACCAAAATATGGTTTTGCTCCATAAGCTATAACAATAAAGATCTTAGTGTCACAAATTTTTCGAAACTTTTAAGAAACAGATGTGGCTGACACTTACAGATTTCCTACTCGATTTGTGCCTGAAAAGTTTCCATAATTTATTTGACATTCTGTCATATATGAAAATATAACCTTACTTTATTGTT